CTATTGATCGGTGGTGTATTAGGCAATATTCTTAATATAATCATCTTCATTAAAGTGCGTAACTACAAGAACAATGCATGTTCACTTTACATGTTCGTTCGTACTTTTTTTGATGTCTCCATTCTTCTTGCTGGGCTAGCCACTCGAATTCTTAGTACAGGCTTTCAAGTAGATTTTACTTTAATGAATCGAATTTGGTGTAAAACTCGCTTAGGACTTACCAATATTAGTTGTGAATGTACATATACTTTGATTTGCTTACAAGCTATTGATGCATTCATGTGTTCTTCTCCATCGGTCGGTGTACGACAAAAGAGTAATATTCGAATAGCACGATATTTAATAATTGCCACTCTTTCTGTTTGGTTTATTCATGAGATACCTTACTTCATCTTTCAAGATCTTGTTATCGTAGGAGGTACACCCATGTGCATTGGAACAAATACAATATTTGCACAGTATCGCACTTATTTTACCGCTCTTTGTATTAACACTATTATTCCTATTATAGTGATCTCTATTTTTGGATTTTTCACTGTCCGACATATGAAAACTATCAGTGTAACAAGAACACTTTCTTCTCTTTCAAGACAAACAATTAGTATGGCATTATTTCAGATAGTTGCTGTATTAGTATTTAATGGCCCAAATGCAGCTTGGCTAATCTACTCAGCGATTACAACAAATGTTGTTAAAGATTCTTATAGACGAGCACTGGAACAGTTAATTGCTTCGTTTGCTGCTACTTATTCTTACGGTCCATATGCAGTAAGTTGTCTTTTTCTAACTTTTAAAACAAATATTTATTCTTCTCCTTTTTTCAGAGTTCATTTTATTGCTACTATTTATCAAAACGATTTCGATTTCAATTGGTCGTATCTCTCAAAGAACTGGTTTGTGGTATACATCCGAATCAAGTATTTCCAAGTACACAAAGAAGTGGTACTCGTACTCAACTACCAACATACGTTAACAATTAAATATATTTGTTGTTTTTGTATTATTTGTCTTATTGTAATTTGTTTTTCTGTTATCTGTTCGTAAAAAGTTTTAAAACATCAATAAAAGTATGTGAAAAAATAAAATATATAATGGTTTAAACATGATTGTGATAAATGAGAAAATTATATTCACTGGAAAGATCGGAAAATTCAGTCACATATTTTAGATACTTGTGCTTTTATCACAGAGGATGTATGATATATCGAGTTCGAGTAATTGATTTGGAAAAGAAATTTAAAATATGCCTTATTGTGATAATTGAATGATTAAAAGATCACGAGTATTGAAGTATGGAAATTATATTATATAGCTGTTACAAATGCAGAAATCTATTCGATTAAATTGGTTGTAATGGATGGATGTGGATGAAGGGGACTGGTTAATATGTCATGCACACTTATATAGTTATCCACACACCCAGTCCTCACTTACACCCTTATCTAGCGATTTTTGAGGTTTTTAAAGATTTCAAGTCATTCTGTTCAGAAGAAAATTGATTAGATCATAAAAAATCTGATCAAAATGATGCCATTATAATCGACATTTAATCAGAAAATGATCGATTATAATCTAATTTTTAGTCATTTTTTGACACGAGAAATAGGCGCAATAAAAACAAGCATTCATTGAAAAATGATATATAAATCATACAATCCAACAGAACTTCTAATCAAGATAAAAAGGTGAATTAAGTCAACTAAACTAATTCATAATTCAAAACGGATGGTAAGACACTAAATTTTGTGATTATGAACTATATTAAATTACATACGCAAATGTTCATATAATTAACAAGAAAGCATTTTATTAATAATCTTATCCAATATACAAAATACGTCATTCATTATTAATTTCTACTATTAATTCATGTCATCGCTTCGAGGTGGGAAACAAGAATGATATATATATGAGTTCGAGCAGTGGAAAATCTAAGCTGACTTAATTCAAAAATGAAAGAAGGTTACTTCAAGAAACATGTCAGAATTACCACTTACTAAATCTAATATGCTATTCAGTTGTTTAATAGAATATTTTTTGATGCAATTTGTTAGAAAACTGAATTTCATTTAAACATTCAAAATATTGACATTGACTTGTATACAGTATTTTTTGTTATTTTACATGGTTATTTCTAATATAATTTTTCAAAAAAATCTTCTTGCACTTTTTGTGAGAAGATTCTCTGTACTCTTTGACGGTGTAGGTGTGGGTGTGAATATTTTATCTATAATACACCCACACCCACACCCACACCCAAAGACCTAAAACGACTAAGATATGATGATAAAAAGAATTTTTGATATATCACTGAGTGCCACATCAATCAATTAAAAACACAACTAGGAAAAGGATGCACTTTTGTATAAGCTTTCATATAATTAGATGTTTCATGCAATATCGTAAAATGTTGTATTTTAAAGCTAAATACATTGTCGAAGAATAAAATATTGATATACTACAATGATATTTATTGTTATTCCTTATAATTTTAAATTCAACATGTTTTCTGTTCATTCATCTTCTTCTTTTGTAGTAATCCTTCTGCGGTGAACAATACAGTCGAAGCAACACATACCATTATTTACTTGAATAGCTTGGCAACACTTTTCTCACGTTATAGAGTATCATTCGTTTTATAAAATTATGCGCATAGTAAGAACATAAAATATATATCCTCTTTGTAAAATACAACAATTCAAGCTGATTCAACTATTTGACAAAAAAGAGTTTCGTTGGAAAAACTCGATTTGTTTTAGCAAATTATAGAGCTATTCATTTGTAATATTCATACTTTATCATCATATGTGAACTCGCTCTCATCTGAATATATATGCTTAGTAACAAAGAATAACTAATACTCTTCGCAACTGTATTTATACCCACTCAGTTGTACAAATAACACTAGTCGACGTTCTTGTCCTCTTCTTTCCAGGTTCTTGCTTTTCTTGATTTTCTGACAAGATTCTTGTGTTCAGGCAAGATTCTTTTCGACAGGAAAGTAAAAAGAATCATACAAGAATTTTCAGTTGCCAAGTATCTTGTCTGAACAATCAGAAATAAAAGAATCAGGCAAGAATTATAAGATATTCAAGATATGTTAATAGTCAGACAAGAATCTTTTTCTTCTCTTTCAAAAGAATCTTGACTGAAGTTCATGATAAAAAGAAACTGGAAAGAAACACAAGATATTTTAAATTTCTTACTATTCAGACAAAATTCTTGTAATAGAAAAGCAAAAAATATTCTTGCCAGCTTTCCAAGATGGACGGCACGTGATATGGTCTTTGTTTATCACATATATAAAAGCATTGGCTGACCGTTATTTATTCATAATCATTACTGACTGAATAAGTATAGTACATATTCACTTATACTATTTTATTTTCCTAAAGCGTTTATTTAGTTTGGACGACACCTAGTAAGTTATTATTTTAACTGGATGCATAGTAAAAGTTTATTTTATATCAAGAAAACAATGGAATATATGATATCCATTTTCTCATTGTTTACTGAAGGCAATCCTCATTGAACATATTTTGATATTTTTCTAATTCATATCTATATATTTTATTTTTTTTTCTAGATTTTTCACTATCGATAAAAGTAATACATATAATGGACGAAGAAAATATTGATTTATTTAAAAAATTATTGTTTGATAATCCTCTTCGTATAGGTAAAATTTTAAGAAAATAAATAATAGAAATTTTCTTTTCTATTTTTTTTGTGTTAAAAATTAAAACTACTTCATGAATATGCGAAAATTAAAGTATTTTTTTGTTCTTTCGTATTTTTTTGTACATGTTGTGAAATGCTTATAATAAATCGATATGAAAAAGGTAGCAATAACCTAAAAAAGGCTTTTTTAATATGACCAGAATCAGGCAAGAAGCCTAAGGAATCAGAAACAGGCAAGAAAATCAAGAAGGATAAGAATCAGGCAAGAAAGTAAGAAAGATAAGAATCAGGCAAGAATTTAAGGAAAACAAGAATCAGGCAAGGAAATAAGAGAACAAGAATCTTGTCTGGAGGAGAATTTCTTGCCTCATCAGACAAGATTCGGTCTACACGAATATCACAAGAAAGGCAAGATCATTTTTTTCAGACAAGAATCTTGTATGTAAAAAATTTTCAGGCAAGAATCTTGCATGTAAGGAATAGAAAAAGAATCTTGCCAGAAAATCAAGAAAAACAAGAACCTGGAAAGAATAGGGCAAGATCGGCGACTGGTGAATGATCTACTTTTTATCATCTATACCTCTTTTTCAACAACCGCCATGCAATATCACTTCGAAATATTACTCCAACTCATATATTATTTGATGAATGATAATTTATTAAGAGATGTGAATGATTAAAGTTTCATTATATATAAAAAAAATTATAATTCAATTCAAAACAGAAAATTTGTCATTCTCTCTATGTTGATTGATAAAGCTCAGCACTATTGAGATAACCACCACTGTTCCACCCACCAGCAACTAATACTGATCCGTTTGCTAATGTGGATGCCGTGTGATATTTTCGTGCAATACTCATGCTTTCTGTAGTTGTCCAAGTACCTGTTGATGGATTGTATAATTCAGCACTATTGACATCACCATCGCTGTTCTGTCCACCAGCAACTAATACTAATCCATTTGTTAATGTGGATGCTGTGTGATGATATCGTGCGACATTCATGCTTCCTGTAGTTGTCCAAGTGCCCGTTGTCGGATTGTATAATTCAGCACTATTGAGTATAGCACCATTGTATCCACC